GCTTTAAGGCAGGAAAAGAATGCGGTCCATTAAAAGCACTTACACAATCTCTCTTTCTCTCAGATATTTAATAGTAGAAACGTCCATTGGGTTAAATGACAAAGTTCCTTTTGCTTTAGGAATTCTCTTTGAATTCTGTAGGGTGCTTGAGTTGTCTCTTTGTGATGTATTGCCTAGGGAGATCCCACTCTAGGGTAGTCAATATTAGGGTGTTGTACTGGGCCAACTGAATTGTAATTGTACTGAAATTGTTTTCACAGGCAAAAATAAAGCCTCATAAGAAGTACTGTGGTCACCATACAGAAGTGGCCTTCTCTTTTCTGTAAGCAAGTGTAGGAGAGCAATAATTTCACTCACAAAATTCTAACGATGGTATAAGAGCTAATGGGAGTTCCAAACCATATGTATCTTCAGCAACAGTATTGTGGAACACTTTAGGTGGTAGAATGGTAGATGAGATCAGATATCATACAAAAGATCTGTGAGATTGCAGGAAATTTTAAGAAATAAAGGCAAAGAGAAGACACATTCTGTATCTGCTGGATCACTGGAAACGAGAGATATTTTAGATTGTAGTGACTGGAAAAATAAATAGGACTCTTAGAATCCTGTCACTCCAATTCAGGGGTGTAAAAACTGGAGACCTCAGGTTGCTCATAATTCCCCTAAGTCTTGGATATGACCCTGGCAACTGATCATTAGAAATACCACACGTAGAGTCATCTGTTCAAGTTGTTTTCATTGGGGGAAAGAATAATATCCATAATTTGATCAGCCAACAGATTTCATTTGTGCTTCTTCAGGATAAATGGTTGGTCTCCGGGCAATTTTTAGCTATTAAACATTTTCCAGTTGCCTTTGGCTAAAAAGTATTTTACACTTTGTCCTGCTAAGTTTATTCTGACTGTTTAGTTTGGGGATGTCATAAGTGTTGGTAATTATTCTCCTTTTTTGGTTTTGAACTTCACTTTGGAAAAATGTCGTTTCAGGAAGCCATTCAAAAATAGGGATTACAGGGAAAAAAGGATCCAGAAACCTTTGTTTTCCAATAGAACAATATATTCCACATAACTTATCAAGATTTTCACTTTGTCGAGTTGGAATCCAGCTTTTCTGCAGGACATGGTTGCCATTAGATCTCCTTGAAATTCTTTCTCTCATACATGTCTTCCCTAATTCAACATTCATTCAGTATGTGTTGAGAGCCATCTGTATAGCCAGCGGTGGAATATTCTCAAGAGATGCTTGAAATCTGTTTGAAATTTGAGATCTGCTGAAACAGATGTTTCCTTGCCTCACTAGTTTGCATAGAAGTGTAAATTTTCTGGAAATTTTTATGCAATGGGGGAAGGGGGGTTTTTTCCCACATGGATTTGGGGGAAATATATAT